CCAGGGAGGCCAGAATATCCCCCTCCCTGCTGTCTTTCCAATGACAGGCTAAAACCTTTTTATTCAGACAGGCTTTTAAAGATGAAGGTTTTAAAGCTCAATTCAGGGGATTCAGTGGTTTTTAACTTTGAATTTGTTTTAATGGTATTTAATTGGGATTTTAAAAAAATACTGTTTATATTTAATCCTGTTTTAATGTTATTATTATTATTATTATTATTATTATTATTATTATTATTATTATTATTATCTTTATTTGTACCCCGCTAGCATCTCCCGAAGGACTCGATGCGGCTTACAAAGGCCAAGGCCTCAAAACATAGCATTGCAATACACAACCTAAAGCAAATCAAAAACAGTTAAAGCAATATTAAAACAGCAAGTAATAAAACAATACACAATAAAATTGGGCCGGACCAGAGTAATGGGTACAGATTAATGGGTACAGATGTTTGCATATTTGTATATTTTATTTGTTATGCTGATGCTTTTATGTTAAGATGCTTTGAGTCCCCTTCAGGGGAGGTAAAGTGGAGTATAGATAATAATAATAATAATAATAATAATAATAATAATAATAGCAACAACAACAACAGTGACTGTCATGGCCACATGTTCTTACTTGAATAACATTGCAAAGGCAGTTCTAGGCACAGCACAAAACCTGCAAAACTCAGGAAAGATATCCTCAAACAAGTCTGCTATTCCTTTTTAACCCTCTGTTTTAGGACTGCAATGAAATGTTGCCCATTGGCCAAAGAATATCTATCCAGGCTTTCACTTTCCTCCTCAATCTTTTTATAGAGCAGTTTGGCATCCTTTATGGGCCACTCCAGATCAACACATTCTGGCCAACACAACACAATCTCTACAAGCTGCCGATGTAGCTGTTTTGTTCATTGTTCTAAGCATGTTAACCTTTGTGTGCTTTTATGAAAAGTTCAGAAGTGTCCTTCCCTGTTTCTCTTGTGATGACTTTGTTACATTAAATTCCAAGCCCATAGATCCTCTCACGCACATGCTCTATACAACAGACTGCGTAAGAGGATATCAATTTATTCCTTCTTGAAGCAAATAGCTGGTATAAGATTGTGCGTGTCCAAGCACACTGGCTAGAGGCAAAATCTCATTACTTTTCATTTTACAACAGCAGTCTATTTCAAGCATTTTAAAAACAATGTTTTATCAAATTTTATTTTTCCTGACTGAGGAGCAATACCTTGGTAGTTTTTCTGGAAGACAATATTGCTGCTGCTACTCTTTGCCATTTCCTCAATGAAAAGTAATGTCATGGATCCTGACACCAGATTACGCCCTTTAATAATTCAGTCACTGTTTCCTTTTACGATAGGTGTGTTCACATTTGTTGTTATTGTCTGCCTTCAAATAATTTTTTACTTATGGTACCCAAAATGAACCTACTACCCATTTCCAATCTAAAAGAATTGGTTGGAAAATAAAAGAGAAACCAAGACACATATGTCATCCCAGATTTATGTTTTAGGTCTTATTATAATAAAGGAAGATACCAGCTCTTAAAATCAAGAACAGCAGATGAAAATATTAACAGGATTCTAGAAGTAAAAACCAATCTGAAATCTATCAGCATAACAAATAGGTAACAACATAAAAGCTATGTAAAAGAAACTTCCAAGTCTAGCAAACTACTAAAGGTGTTCTTGCTATGGATCCTGGAATTGAATAGGGTACTGAGTTTTCTAGGGGTGAGAATATGTGACTTGCCCAGGATCACCTTGTTGTAGYTTTTCATGGCTGAGCAAGGGATTCGAACCCCAGTTTTTCAGTGTTCAAGCAACTACATAACACTGATGCTTAAATGGTCTAAAGCAGGCCTGGGTAATCATGGGCCCTCCAAGCCACTTAAGGAAAGGAAAGGGCCTGAGGCTGTTAGGAATGGTAGGAGTTGGAGTCCAAAACACCTGGAGGACCCAAGTTTGCTAGGCCTGGTCTAAAGACATCAAATCCAGTTTGATCTTCAAAGATAAGCAAGGGAAACCCTGATTAGTACTTGGATAGCAAACCACCAATGAACACCACTTGCTATGGAGGCAAGGAAATGGCAAACCACCTCTCTACTCAAGAAAACCCTATGAAATTCATGATGTTGCCGTAAGTCAACAGGCAACATGGAGGCATATTCACATGAGCAGATGTTGGTTAAAAATGATAAACCTGTCTTAATTCAGGCCAGATGGTCCTCTTTCTCCCAAAATGCTCACTCCGTCATTTTTAACTCCTGGATATTTTGGCACACCATAAACATTATTGGATCAACCAAAATGAATGAGATTTACCTAGGAGTTGACTCAAATGGATTCAAATTCCAGGAAAAGAGAATCCATGTAAGGATTAGGAAGAACTTCTCAATGGTAAGAGCTGTTCTGCAGTGGAATATGCTGCCTAGGAGTGTTGTTGACTCTCCTTCTCTGAAGGTTTTTAAGCAGAGGCTGATGGCCATCTTTCGGGGGTGCTTTGATTATGTGTCTCTGCATGGCAGAGTGAGGTTGGATGGAATGACCCTCGGTTAGATGGGATGACCCTCTTCCATGTCTATTTTAATCTGACCCAGCATTGAACAATTGATCAAATGGGTCTACTCTAGTTGGAACCAACCATGAGGAGTTTGTTTACCACCCTTTCTCTGTTCCCTCCCTTCTCTGTCTCCCCACCACCTAATTGGCAGCTACATAATGCACCAGATTACAGCTTTGGAGAAGAACAAGATAAATGCTTGGGGATGAAAGGGGGCTGTAATATTTAGAATTCAGCAGATAAAAGCGGGATTAATAATGCAGTTGGCATTGATCATAATGTCCATGTCTAGGCAGAGATCACAGTTAACTCTTCTTATTAGTTCTGAGCTGCTTAGCTCATTTCTGGGCATTTATGTTGCACAGCAGGTTGCTGGTTGAAAATCTAATGACGTAACCAGCAGCATTCATGCATAACACAATATGTCTTGCCATAAAGCACAGTGTATTGTTGAAGTTCTCTATCCTGTCTACAACACAAGTACATGTACATACACATACACATTCAAACATTTGGTTTGGACAATCCCTTTCAAAATTACACTTTTGGAGTCCCAGTATATTTGTTGTGTTATGTTTCATTCTCTGTTCCTCCAATTTAATCACTCCCAGTTTTCAATACAACATTACAGGACTTTTGTTTTCTTAAATTCCAGTCTCATTCCAATCCCAGTGGGATCTTACAGATAGGACTGGACCATAAGCTATTGGTGGAGTTGCTTTCAGCTTTAATTTGCCCCTGTAACATGGAAAGAAGTGATCATTTTGAAATGGGGAGGACAAATTAGATCAAGGTAGCAACAGCCTAATTAGTACTTCAAGAGAGCTAAAGTAATTGTTATAGAGCCAGCACATTCTTCTACCCTCCTTCCACCATCCCACTGTGCCTCTTTTGAAAATTTACTTTCCGCACCTGGGGTTTTTGTGATGACAAATTGTGTAGTCCTATTGCATATCGTTAATTGACTGATACTCAGATCTACAATATAGACCGTAAGCAACAAAGCCCTAATCATGCAATTACTGACTAAACTGTGCTGGTGGCATCTCTGTACTTCAAGCCATGGGTACAATGAGACTAACTCCCAAGTAACTCTACATAACTGCAACCCAAGAATTCAGCCTAATTGGCTAGAATAATGTTCCTAGAGCTTGGGATAGTTTGTTTGTTTTGTTTGTTTGGACTCAGAATATGGCTACTGGAGAATAATGGCTTTTCCAAGCATTTACGCTTATCCAGTCTAATGTCCTTTGGATGCATTGGACCACAACTCTCAGCCATAGGGCTGTAGACCAATACATCTGGAAGGCACCAGGATGAGGAAGGCAAGCATCTGATTCTTTGAATTACTGGTGGGAATCAAGTAGGCTTCCATATATTTTACTACAAGTCACAGCTATCTTAACCAGCCTAGTTAATGGTGTAAATGATGGAGTTACAGTCCAATATCTGGACAACTGAATGATTCCCATCGTTGCCTTAAATGCATCTGAAAAACAGATAAGCAAACTGAGGAGCAGCTCTTCAGTATCAAAAGAATTACCAAATTAAGAAGCAGTCCTTGAATATTAAAGAACAGAGTTATCCTTCCATTTTTGTAATTGCCCTACTATGTTTAGAATGGGAAGTGCCACCACTTTGGGGTACAAAGCATTGACATTCTCATAGATAATTCCCACAGGAAATGGGAGATTAAAATCATAGCTATTGTGGACTCTTCCACTCATTTCAGCAGAGTCTAGATGGGAAACATCATGGTGAATTGCACCACACATTTCTGTTATCTAAAATAATGATGAGGAAATTTTAGTCCTCTAGATTATTTTTTTACTAATGACTCTAGTCTGACCTGTCCAGCATGACAAAACATCTAGAGAATTAAAGGCTCTCCAATCCTGAGCTACAGCTTACCAGAGGATATAGGATACAAATAAGTTTGCAGTCCTACCATTCAACAACATGGCAGTTGCCCTGGCTCCAGGGGCAGAAAATGATTAGGCTAATTATCCCAGGCATTTATTAAATACATTTATTTCTTCACAGGAACATCAGCTCCCTCTTCAAGTGACTACGATTTGTTGACTTTTGCCTCATGAAACATCCCTGCTCAATTGTGTTCAGTTTCTGCTGTCAACTTATCAAAATACTTGTCAATCCAAAAAAATATGTTGTCTCCTTCGCTTCAGTTGCTTGAGCTCCTTTCCTGAAATATGGCCAACATTTCCAATATGTTGTTCTCTCTTGTTGTGGTACATAAGGTACTGTTTTTCATATTTTGGCAGCATACTATTTTCTTTCACCTTCTGCTACAGCTGCCCCTTAGGTCAAATACCTTGAGATTTTTTTTCTTTCATCTTGATTACCAGGTTTGAACTAAGTGGCAACTGGCAGCAAAATCCTTAAGAAGCTCAGACCTGGTCATGCAGAACCCTGATGCCATCTTGTTATCAGCAGGAACACTTGCAGGTTGCCACCACAGGGTAAGGGATTTGCCTCCAAGCACATTGCTGAAGAGACTTCCGAGGACCAAAGGTTTGGTCCCTGCTAACCCAACAATGCCATGCTAGCAGTTTGATGTGGGTGACCTGGGCAGGCTGACAGGTCATGCCAGGAGGCCAAGAGCACCTGGCATTATTATGATCACACTCTGTATGACGTACCCAACGCGGCCAGAAAATGGATCCCATATCCACCCAGGAAGAGGTCAGATGGCAGGTAGCACTGTCAACTAGCCATTGCTGGAGGTGGTCAATGAAAGATTGACTCTGGTTATGGGAAGTCCTGTCCCAAGAAGTCAAAAGTTCAGAAATATCTAACCGCTTTGCCTCCTGCAGGAGTTTCTTCTGAAATCGGGCTGTACGTTCAGCCAGGTCCACACTCAAGGTGCCCAAATCATCTAGGCTGGTGTTTCGACCTCGTGGATCTTCAACAGACATCCAGAAAGGGTCATAGGAAGATCCTAACAGTTTCATCAGCCGAGTGGTACGCAGACGCTTAGGTTTGGGTATGTAATGATGGTAGTCTTCAGGAGAGAGAGACAGGCTGTAGGGCTTTGCTTGGGTGCCCAGATCACTCCGGATGAGATGGATGTCAGGATTGGATTGAGCCATCTTGTTGAGTTGATCATAAGGTTGAGGAGACTCACTTGGGGAAGCCTTCCTTGCCTGAGAGAGAGAAATTGTTTCAGCGTAAGGAAATCTCTGGAAGCAGGTCTCCCTCATCTTGAGAAGCAGCAGCACATTGACTAAGAGTGCTCTGACATGCATGACTACCACTGTTCCTTCAAGACGAATGTCTCTCTTAACTGCAGCAAACTTTACCCTGTAAGTTGCTTCTCTCCACCCTTTTTTTGTTATCATCAGATCCCTTTGGCCGAGAGTTTACCAGCTTCCCTTTCCCCTAGTTACATGCTTTGATATCAGACAGAACTGCTGTTCTCAGTGCGATAAAGAACTGAAGATGAGAAAATTACCCACCTTATTGATCAATTGGGGAAAGAGTGTGTGAAGTGCATGCATTTGTTGATTGACTGATTGCATATATATCTTGCCTTCCCTTTGCTTTATCCCAGTTCAAGGTTATTTTATTTTTTCCTTACAACAATCTGGTAATGTTGAGCTGAAGGGAAAGCAGTCCAAGAACCATCCAGTGAGTCTCATGGCATCAAGATCTTGGACTTGTATTTCCTAATTCAGCATCTCAGCATTGGTTTTCTGTGCTTTTAATGTTATACTATTGCAACATAATGGGTGCAGAAAATCCTGGTGGTGGCAAACATCATGCTTAATGGAACTTGTCAGAAATGTGCTATTGGAAGATGGCTTTCTTGGCCGTTAGTTGATACCATCCACGCATGAAACAACGTCTGGGATGGGAGTCTGCACAGATTATCTATAACAATAACAGAAGTAACAACAGAACCAACTTTCATGCCTACAGGGTACATATCACAGCTTTAGCTAACCTGAAAGCGGTATTAAAATGGTGTGTTCTGTGCTTAACAGGGCATATTGACAAGGCCACATACTTCATGGAAACCAACATGCATTGGTTTCCATGGCAGCAAAGCCCTTGCATTCAAGTACATTCTCTAACTCCCGTTGTTTCTTTCTCCTGCATAATGTTCAACTGTGTGCGCGACCCACACAGAGATATCATCCTCACCTGACACCAAAAACATTTCAATCTAAATGTAAAAAAAGATCCATCCTCAGTTCAGACTGGGGACATTACCTCAGGTGGCAGATATTGGTGGGTAGTAGCATCTTCTAACTGTTTCCCAATGCCTTCCATGTCTTTGCACTGAGATGCATGTGGCACATGAATGGTTCCACACTCTCTAAGCCAGCCCATATTTGGTGATATGGACCATCTAGCCCAACCTCCTGCCATTCAGGAAAAGCTCAATCAAAGTATCCACCACACACTGAGGCAGAAAGTTTCACTGTTGAACAGCTCTTACAGTCAGGAAATTCTTTCTAATGTTCAGGTGGAATCTCCTTTCCTGTAATTTGAACCCATTGCTCCTAGTGCTAGTTTCAAGGGCAGCATAAAACAAGCTTGCTCCCTCTTCCTTATGGAAACCCTTTCACATATTTATACATGACTATCATGTCTCCTCTCAACCTTCTCTTCTGCAAGATAAACATGCCCAGCTCTTTAAGACGCTCCTCATAGGGTATGGTCTCCAGACATTTGATGATATCCTAAATTTATTGCCAGTGTTGAAATAAAGCCCATTGAACAGCTCAGCTGGCTGAGACAAACCTCTTGTCATTTTGCTCCAGGCAGCATGATGCCTTGAATAAGCCACAATCAGGTCAGATGAAAAGTTGATATGTTTGAGGTGGCCATATCATTGCTGCTGCTGTTGTTTATTTATACCCCACTTTTTTCTCCATAATGAAACTCAAAGCGGCCATAGAGTTTGTGAACATTAATTTTTTGGCAAACAATTCCCAGCATGGACAGTAATCCTGCTGATTGAAGAATGCTGGAACTTGTTTTCCAAGGTAATGGATTTCTGAAGCTCTGAGTGGTCATTGTTTGGTCATGGCAGATTTGCCCTCTAGATTCCCCCTTGCAGGTATGATATACTTCAGCAATCTCATCTCTTATCATCTTGTTATGTGATTTCAACTCTGCTAAAACATGGGTTCAGGTCCTGGAGTGTCAAGCTTCCAGAAGGCCACATGAGACACATCTGGCAAAATCAAAGGCATTTATTCTCCTTGGTCAAAGAGGATGTCAGTGGAGTCTGCACTCCAAAGAACTGACATACCTCAATGTAAACATACAGTCATATTTATAACACTTGGGCAACTATTCAACACTATGAGTGCCAGTTGGGTAAACAAAATGGGTGCTCAAGCTGTTGGACATTTCAATGGGAACCCAGGAGGCAGTCCAATTTGGTGACAGAGAGAAGGACTAAACCAGATGAGATCAGGAGAGAAAATAAAAACAGGAAAAGAACCAGTGGCTTTTGGGTAAGCCAATTATGTATCTCATGTGTCTTACCGGGGTATTGTGAAGGGATTATGATAATCATGAGGCTGCTTCCTGGAGTCCAAAACATTCCAGGGGAAATTCATAAAAAGGTTACTATAAGACAAAAGAAAAAGTCAATGTGGGCTTGCTGTATGTCTCCATGGAGCAGCAAGCCATAATTCATCATTCTGGGATCTCACTGTCAATAAAAATCCTGCAAGTCACAACATTAGACCTGATTGTATGATACAAACTCTGAATTCATAGGAGTTATTTAGCACAGTCATTCACACCACTATCATGACAATTCTTGGTTTCCTTAGCAGCACAAAATAAATGCTATTCTGCATTCCTAATACAATAAACCTTACATTTCCACTGATAATACACCCACAAGTGGCTACAACATGTCAGCTACATGATAGATATCAAAACAATAAAAAACTGGAAAGGCCCAAAGTAGTCCAATAAAAAAGAAAGACGTAAAACAGAGGTAGGAATCGTTCATTCCTCCAAGTGCTATTATATTGTAACTCCAATCAAGTCTAGTCAGAATAACCAATGGTGAAAGATGCTGGGAGCTAGAGGACCGCACACGCCTCAGCCCTAATGCCAAAAAACAAAAAAAGCAGAGGTATTGACATATTCAATATGTTTCAACTAGATAATTATATTATGACCTCCTTCAGGAACTACCAAAAGAAGAAAATGAGAACTTCATAGTTTTGATAATAATGCATTTATAAGACATTGTAATAAACACACACATCAAATCTGAATGTATGATCTGTTTATGCCAATAGAGGAACAGTACCCATAGATGCCTCTGACAATTGGTTTGCAAGTTTTGTTAAGCAGCAAATGAGGAGTTATTTGATTGAAAGGACATTATGATGCACACATATTTTTCATCATTTGATGCTACTCTGAGAGGGCCATATTGACTCATTTTAAAATACATTCACTCAGGACTTCAGAAAATTATACAAATTATTTTTAAAGGACAGGGAGAAATTCTTTGTTCAAAATTCTTAAAGCCAGGATTCCCAATCTCAACATCTAATTTATTTCTCTTTTCAGTTGAATCTTGTTATTTTTTGTGTGCCATTTACTGGCATGTGGAAGGTAGGGAAATGGCTGAGAAGGATCTCATAGAATCATAGGGTTGGAAGAGACCACCTGGGCCATCTAGTCCAACCTCCTGTCATGCAGGTAAAGCACAATCAAAGTATTCCTGACAGATGACCATCCAGCCTCTTTAAAAGCTTCCAAGGAAGGAGCTTCCATCACATTCAAGGAAGAGACTTCAATTGCTAAATAGCTCTTACAGTGAGGGAGTTCTTCCTAATGTTCAGGTGGAATCTCCATTCCTGTAATTTGAATCCATTGCTCCACGTCCTAGTTTTCAGGGCAGCAGAAAACAAGTCTGCTCCCTCTTCCTTATGACAACCTTTCACATATTTATACATGATTATCATGTCTCCTCTCAACCTTCTCTTCTTCAGGCTAAACATACCCAGCTCTTTGAAACACTCCTCATAGGGCATGGTCTCCAGACGTTTGATCCTTTTAGTCACCTTCTTCTGGACACCTTCCAGCTTGTCAATATCTTTCTTGAACTTTGGTGTCCAGAATTGGACACAGTATTCCAAGTGAGGTCTAACTAAAGCAGAATATAAAGGCACCATGACTTCCCTTGATCTAGATCCTCTTACTCCTTTTGATGCTGACCAAAATCCCATTGGCTTTTTAAGCTGCTGCATCACACTGTTTTCTCATGTTCAACTTGTTGTCCACAAAGACTCCCGGATCTTTCTTACGTGGACTGTTGTCGAGCCAGGCATCACCCATCTTGTATCTTTGCATTTCATTTTTTTTTTTTTGCCTAAGCGTAATATCTTACATCTATTCTAGCTGTGTTCCTATAGCTGAACATGCAACACTTATCAAGCATGAAATTAATATCCTCTGACTGCTTTGGTTCGGCAGGAAGACTCTAAGGCTGGATCTACACTGCCCTATGTCCCAGAATCTGATCCCAGATTATCTGCTTTGAACTGGATTATATAAGTCTAGTTGGAGCTCCAGTTGGAGGTCACCTGTGACCAGCAGTGCTGCAGAATTTGAAGAGGCATGAATGGAGGGCGAAAGAGAGAAACTGCCAAGAGGAAGGCGCCTCAAGCCAACCCTGACTGGGACCCCCTTCCACCTGGAAACCAATGCCCTCACTGTGGGAGAAGATGCAGATTAAGAATAGGGCTCCACAGTCACCTATGGACCCACCGCCAGGATACTACACTTGGAGGACCATCATCCTCGGACTACAAGGGATCGCCTAACAGATAACYTAAGTCTACATTGCCATATAATCTGGGATAAGCAGATAACACTATGGGCCCTTCCACACAGCCATATAACCCATAATATCAAGGCAGAAAATCCCARAATATCTGCTTTGAACTGGGTTATCTGAGTCCACACTGCCATATATTCCAGTTCAAAGCAGAAAATGTGAGATTTTATTCAGCTGAGTGGAAAGGGCCTATGTAACTTTTTTTAAAAAAAAAAAATATGTTCCTGGTTTTAAAGTGTAATTTCCTGTTTAATTGTGTGGTACTTA